TCAATCAACGACTGAGTTCATTACTGCAGCATCGAAACGGTCTACCTGAATGAGGGTGATCCGGATTCCAGCGTCCTGTGCTGCTTTCAGAACTGTGGAGTCCAAATCAAATTTGCCCGTGCCGTGATGTACGTAGTGGAACTCTCCTACAGTAGTTATACCTGCTTCCAGCATCTCTCGAAATGTGGTGTAACAGTACTGAAATAAATTTTAGCAATAGCGCGTCTACATATGTGCCATCGATATTTGTCCATCCCTATGGCTATCGTCTACGAAGTTTTTCTTTGTCCTCATGCCACTTTGCGGCTATGCATGTTTTTAGTGACGACTGCCGAAGAAAGCTCACTGGATTTGCAAGATTTTCGCGAAAACAAAACAAAACCTCGTAGAGTTTCTCTGTTGTGATGCCGTCCACGAGCGCGTACATGTTGTCTCGCCATTTCCAGAAGGTGTCCGCCGCTTTGCCACCGATTCCACTTTTTCCCCGGAGATGGCGGTGGAATGCATGCGAATGGGCGTTCACGAATCCTGGCAGCACAATCTGAAAACTAGAGAATTTGTCGCTCTCGGAGCGGACAGGCGCGCAATAAGAGAGCCAGATGAAATCGCAAATCAAAAAAAATTTACTATGAGGTACGCAGCAAACCGAAGACCGAGTAAAACACCGAAGTATTTTTCTCGGAAATGAGGAGTTCCAATTTGTAGTAGAAATCACTGCTTTCCATACTTATAGGTTTCTGCATAGAAAAAATCTCCGTGCAGCAATGCGTTCATTTTTTCTCGAATGCGTAGTCTATAGGTTTGCTTGGGAGCCTAAAATCGTCCCAAATTATGGCCTAGCTGTATCGAATTTGTCTATGAAATACAGATAAAGTTTGCCGCTTGGCGTAAGCGATCAAATGACCTTGCTTGAATGCCCGAATTCTCGGAGGCAGGGAACACTGAGGATATCTTCAACCGCCCATGCTAAAAATGCAACTCATTTTGTGGCCAGCTGAACAAAACATGCAGCTTCC